CTGGTCAGCAGCTCTGTGTCAGACTGGTACATTCATAGAATCATGGAAACGTTTGGGTGGGAAGGGACCTTAAAGATCATCCAGTCCCAACCCCCCTGCATGGACAGGGACACCTTCCACCAGCCCAGGCTGCTCCAAGCCCCATCCAACCTGCCCTTCAACACTGCCAGGGATGGGGCAGCCACAGCTTCTCTGGGCAACCTGGGCCAGGGTCTCCCCACCCTCACAGACCAGAATTTCTCCCTCACATCTCAGCTCCAGCTCCCTCTTCCAGCTGGAAACCCTTCCCCCTCCTCCCATCTCTCCATGCCCTTGTCCCAGGTCCCTCCCCAGCTTTCCTGGAGCCCCTTCAGGTACTAGAAGCTGCTCTAAGGTCTCCCTGGAGCCTTCTCTTCTCCAGGCTCAACACCCCAACTCTCCCAGCCTGTCTCCAGAGCAGAGCTGCTCCAGCCCTCCCATCATCTCCATGGCCTCCTCTGCATTCTCTCCAGGAGCTCCAAGCCCTTCTTGTGTTGGGGGCTTCAGAACTGGACACTGCAGGAGGATCTCTCAAGAGCCAAGTAGAGGGGGAGAATCACCTCCCTTGACCTGCTGGCCACACTTCTTTTGATGCAGCCCAGGACATGGTTTCTGGGCTCCAAGTGCACACTGCTGGCTCATGTCAAGATTTTGTTCCTGCCATAAAGTTTGAATTTCATGTTTCAAAAAATTAACCCCATTCAGCTCCTAGTCTAGGGAGCTGAGCAAGAGTAAACTGAATGCTTCACAAGGCTGTCAGCTCTAAATTTGCTTTAACTGCATTACATCAGCACAACTGAACATGTCCTAATTCACCTGCAAGCCAATCTCCCCTCCTGTGCAGCTGGGTGCCACACCAAGTCTGTGCATTGAATGCAGCAACAACAGCCACCAGCTCAACTCTAGAAGCCCAACCAACTGGCAACAATGCAAGTTAACACTGAAAAAATAATTTGAGAAAAGCCTGGTGCTATTACTCACTCCAAAAAACAGATCAGGAGAAATATATTATTAATTCCCTGACATAAGGAAACTGAAGCAGAAATCCTTAACACTGAAAAAGAAGTGGGTATTGGAGCATTCCCTGGCCTGCTTCTTGAGAAACTAATTACTGCCACTTCAGCTTCCTCTTGCTTTGGACAAAGACATGCTGTCTGAAGGAAGAAGATGTGCTCATGAGTAAAATTCACTTTTACCTCAGTTCGTAGTTTTGCAACACAGGGAAATGTGAAGCTTAAAAGTGAAGATAACTCAGAGGGTTTCATATGTCCTTTTTTCTACCTTGATTTTTCCATCTTGCCAACCTAACAAAAAATTACTGGAAACAGCAGTTGTTCTCACTGCTCTCCTTTGGAGATACTACTGCAGTTTCACGGTGTTTTGTTACCTGACACAATCCAACCTGAAAGAGAACTGTACTCCCACACCAATAAATCAGAGTAAACACTTCATGGTCTATCAAAATGACAACATTTTATAAAAACACTATATACTTTGACCAACTCACACTTTAAAAAAGCATATACAGAAACTGAAGATAACTGAAATATATTTCATCTCAAACAGGAGTTCTGTCTGTTCTGAACTCTCCTGATTTCTCCAAAGCTTCACAAATCAGAGGAGGATGAAACTAGGCTCTTTCAACACAAACTGTGTAAGAAGCAACTACAAAAGACAAAACCTGATCCTACCAGCTCTGCTCACCAGTGTGTATTATCAAGATGCTGGAGGAACACAGAACATGAACACATGATATTTGAAGATCATCTGTGCTAGTTTAGGTAGAGACAGAATCAGAAGCAAAGAAGATGTCACTGAAAATTTTTAACTGGATCCAAATGTAAGCTGTCACAAAATACCTCTGCATTGTGTTCATACTACTGGGAAAAGCTGTCATTCTTTTATTAACAAATCTTCTCAGATTTACTCAGTCATTGCACATTAGAACCAGCAGCTGGAGAGCTTTGAGTGATAATGAAACCTGTAACAAGGCATCTTCAGCCATCTTTTCCAAACAATAAGGGAATTAAAATTTCAATTTAAATGCAGAGGTTTGAAACACGCTTCAGTGGCAAAATTATTTCAATTAATGTGAGATGAATACAAAGAACAGGCAGCAGGAATTTTCAACCTGAAATTATGCCATTAGAGAGTTTGCATCAAGCTAACACCATGACTGCAAAGGTCTAATTTCAACTGTCCATATCACAAGGCTACAGGCAACAATATTAATCAGTGCTCCAATTTTCATGTGAGGCATACAAGCTCCTTGTCAGATCACTTTGGGTTTTTTCTAAGCCAAGAGCATCTGTTTACCTTAAGGAATGAAACAAAAGGACAGAAAAATCTATGTACACTCTGCATCCCTGACAGTTTAGTCATTACTTTACATAATATTCATATCATATCAAAGGATAAAGGAATTATCCTGCAGCCAGTGAGTGATTACAACCTCAGTCTTGCAGAAGCAGTGTTAACAGAAGATGGCAAAATCCATTGACCCTACAGCAATCTTTGTCTACAAAAAAGCTCCAAATGCAGTCGGGGTCCTATTTCTGCATTACAGGTACACTTCTCTTCCAATTATAATTGCAAGTGTCAATGAACAGATA